GTGAAAGACTCGTGCACACTACACAGCCGGAGGTCTGGACAACTACATCGTTGCCTCTGAATTCCCTCAGGGCTGCAACATCCTTCCTGACAGGGGCAGACACCATAGCTCTCCTTCAGGTGGATACCATGATTAAGCCTCATTCTTTGGGGGGGTGTTAATCCTGCACTTAGAGTGGGACGACCTTGTACTTTGCTTTTTGGGTAATAATTTCTTGAACTATTGAATGTATCTCTCTAGCGTATAGGGTACTTGCCCTCTGTGCTCTCCTGCCCTGCGTGAACTGCCCGTGCAAACTGCCGCGCCGTGCTGTTCGAACGTGCCACGCCCGTCCTGTTCGCGCCGCTCTCGAGTCGCGGGTTTTGTACTCGGGGGTGTTCGGCCGCTGTCATCCCCGGCTCCGCCCGCACCGTGTCACTGCTGCCGCACGCCAAGGGCTGCTCGCTCCCTTCATAATGGCTTTTTCTGCGGATTTACCTTTCTTTTCCATTCCGATTGGATATAAGGAAGAAGTTTTTTTACAAAGAGATGGTGCGGTTCTGGATCAGGTTGTCCAGAGAGATGGTAGATGTCTTGTCCTTGGAAGCATTCAAGGTTGGGCTGAACCAGGCTCTGAGCAACCTGACCTAGCTGTAGGTGTCGCTGTTCATAGCAGGAGAGTTGGACTAAATAGCCTTTAAAAGCCCATTCCAACTTAAAAGTTTTTTATGATTCTATGATATCTTAAAGTCATTTACAATAAATCCAGCTTCTGAATTTCTCATACTCTAGAGAAAATAGTTCAAAATAAAAATAAAGAGTGCCAGATCTAGATTTTTTTGTAACTGATATAGGAATCCCATCTAATTGAAAGGAGAGGAAAGGAGATAGAAAAAGACCTTGGGAATACATCTGACAGTATCTGATAGGCAACACATACCTGTAGCCCTTTTAGTTTATTTTGTACTTAAGTGTATATGTTTAAGTACATGTAATTAACTAGCAATTTTTTTATTTCTGTTATTGATAAGCTGTATGTCTCATAGCATTTTTTGAGATGAAACCTGTGTGTTTGATTTGGTCTGTCATGTTTCCTGTTTAATTGTGTTTATACATTCAGTATATTCACAGTATTTATTTACTGAATGCTTTCCCACAGTATTGAGTTGAAGACAAGCATAAGTACTGTTAACAAAATTGTTCTCTTTGGGACCAGACACCATAAACAATTGAGAAAATCATTAAATCACAGAATCACCCGGGTTGGAAGGGACCTCACAAAATCACAGAATCACAGAATTGTAGGGGTTGGAAGGGACCTCCAGAGATCATCGAGTCCAACCCCCCTGCCAAAGCAGGTTCCCTACAGTAGGTCGCACAGGTAGGCATCCAGGCAGGTCTTGAACATCTCCAGAGAAGGAGACTCCACCACCTCCCTGGGCAGCCTGTTCCAGTGCTCCGTCACCCTCACTCTCACCCTCACTGTAAAGAAGTTCTTGCGCATGTTACCTCAAGGATCATGTAGTTCCAACCCCCCTGCCTAGCAGGGCCACCAAACATACACATTCAGATCACATTGCCCAGGACCCCATCCAACCTGGCTTTGAACACGTCCAAGGACGGGGCATCCACAACCTCCGTGGGCAGCCTGTTCCAGGGCCTAACTACTCTCCTTGTAAAGAACTTCCCCCTAACATCCAACCTAAATCTTCCCTCCCTCAACTTGGATCCATTTCCCCTAGTCCTGCTGTTGTCAGCCCTTTTGAAGAGTTTACTCCCCTTCTTGGTGTAGGTTCCCTTCAGGTATTGATAGGCTGCAATGAGGTCACCCTGCAGCCTTCTCTTCTCCAGGCTGAACAAGCCCAACTCCCTCAGCCTGTCGTGGGGGAGGGGGAGGTGCTCCAGCCCCCTGATCATCTTAGTCGCCCTCCTCTGGACCCTTTCCAAAATCTCTATGTCTTTCTTGTACTGAGGGCTCCACACCTGGACACAGTACTCCAGACGGGGCCTCACAAGAGCTGAGTAGAGAGGGACAATCACCTCCCTGTCCCTGCTGACCACCCCTCTCCTGATGGAGCCCAGGATCCCATTTGCCTTTCAAGCTGCCAGAGCGCACTGCTGGCTCATGTTCAGTCCCTCGTCCATCAGGACCCCCAGGTCCTTCTCTGCCGAGCTGCTCTCAAGGACCACTCCTCCCAGCCTGTACGGGTGCCTGGGGTTCTTCCGGCCCAAATGCAAAACCTTGCACTTAGCCGTGTTGAACCTCATTAGGTTCACCCGAGCCCAGCTTTCCAGCCTGTCGAGGTCCCTCTGAATGGCATCCCTTCCTTCCACCGTATCAACCGCACCACTCAGCTTGGTGTCGTCAGCAAACTTGCTGAGAGTGCACTCATTTCCCTCATTGATGTCATTAATAAAGATGTTAAAGAGCACCGGTCCCAAGACAGACCCTTGGGGGACACCACTTGTTACCGGCCTCCACCTGGACATAGAGCCATTGACCACCACCCTCTGTCTCCGGCCTTTCAACCAATTGCTTATCCATTGGGTCGTCCACCCATCAAATCCACTTTCCTCCAATTTGGAGATGAGGATGTGGTGGGGGACCATGTCAAAGGCCTTGCTCAGGTCCAGGTAAATGACATCGGTCGCCTTCCCTTCGTCCACCAATGCCGTCACTCCATCATAGAAGGCCACAAGATTAGTTAGGCATGACCTTCCTTTGGTGAAGCCGTGCTGGCTGTCTCAGATCACATGCTCATTCTTTATGTGATCGAGCATGTTGTCCAGGAGGATCTGTTCCATGATCTTCCCAGGCACGGAGGTGAGACTCACCGGCCTGTAGTTCCCCGGGTCCTCCCTGCTCCCCTTCTTGTATATGGGAGTGACGTGACCCTTCCTCCAGTCATCCAGGACCTCACCTGACAGCCACGACTTCTCAAATATGATGGAGAGCGGCTCGGCAACCACCTCAGCCAGCTCCTTCAGGTTTCTTCAGGTCATTGTACTATAACTAGAATGAGCCCTTGTGATAAATTGCTTATGCTAGACAAAAAGAAATTTGCAAAAAAATGTTGTGATGCTGCAAAATGGCCTGAGATTTCAGATTTCTGGAAAGAGGCTGTTCTTACCAGTCACAGATGCCCCACTTTGCATCCTGGTATAGTACTTGCATGTGTCTGATATAGGAGATAGGCTTGTTTGATTTTCTTACCTTGGTTCTCTGTTAATACCTACTCATCTCTTGTGGACGGCCCCAGAATGCTAGTGTCTGTGGTATTATTTTTTGCTTACAACACTTTCAGCAGTCATTTTGTTAGAAAACTTTTTCAGTTATTCAAGAGCATTCATCTAATATGGGATCACCAAACAGGTTCACTAGTTTACTCAAACTTGTAAGTTCAGCTTCTGGCTGTAAATCAGTTCTTAAAGTTTTCATTATACCCCCGTGATTTTAGAAAGTTTGCAGCTGGATGTTTGACTTCATGTAAGAAGAGCTACTGTGAAAGCATGTAGGCTATTTTTAATGCTTACTAAATAGTAAGGTTTGAGAGAATTCTGAGGAGATGTTTTGGACCTGTGCAAACTGAGAACATAATAATGAAATAGCATGAGCTCTGCTGACATTGCCTTGAATGTGCTTAAGTCAAAGCCTGTAGGTCTGCTATTCCCCTGTCACAGATGCAGGTGTCATGGAGTTATCTCTAGATCTAACTACCTGGCAAGCCAACAGCTTTGCTTTCCCACCCCACCTCCCCTCAACCCCCTCTACCCCCCATGGAAAGTATTCAGTCCAGTAATGGTGACATTCATTTTAGGATATATACTTATTACTGTTAGAAACTAAATGGGTTTATTAATAGATTATTGGTCTTCATTTTCTTATCTGGCATGGAATAGCATGATATTTAAGTTGTGATTATGAAAAGTTAGCTGTATAAAACTATTTGCAGGGCTGCTGCTGCTAAGGTTTATTTTCTGGTTTGTAGCTTTGTCTCTGTAAGTTATAAAATAAATATTTACTGATTTCCATTGCTTCTGTGAGTGTCTGAATTTGTCTTCAAATAGTCAACAGTTCATTTCTGAGAGCAGCCATCACGTTTGTATTAAATGAAAATTGTTCTTACAATCTTGATATTGGGGCCAATGATTGAATATCTGCAAGAGTTCAGTTACTCTTCTGGCATATGTATTGTTTCTTCTTAAAGATGTATAAAGGCTGGTGTAGCATGTGCTACTCTATTTTCTCTTTTGCTGAGGAAAAATATTGTTAAATAGAAAAAAAAAATACTTGTGTCTTTTACTGGGGAAATTTAGTTAGATTTTAATATTTTGGTTTGACAATAATTCCCTTTGTTCCAAGATCCAGTTTTTGCATTGAACTGTGCAACTAGGTATGGATTATAGCTTTTGTTCAAAGGTTGGATGTGGTTGTTTTTCACCCTTCTTTGTATAACAACAAAAAAGAAAATCAGATTGAAAGTACTGAATTTATTGATTTCTCTTAAGGAGAATGCTCTTTTTGCACTTTAATGAACAGATGCAGAACTTGAAACAAGCAAAGCCTCACTCCCACCACGCTCGGTGGTACCACCTTGGCCCTTTTGTTTTGATTAAATTTTTTTTAGTGTTTTCATTTGTCTTGAAATTGACATCCTTAGTTTTTCTCTCATGAAAAGCGTTCAGAATAAATATCTACTCACTTTATTATAGTATTATTTGAGTGAAATATTGGTAAAGATAAATTCAGATATTAAAAGCTTGAGACACAAATGGTATATTCTAAGATAATTTACTGATCACTGTGCCAGTGTTGCTACTTTGTCTCAATGGGGTGATTATTTTACCCTACTTCTGTTAGAAAGAAAATCAGCACCCTTAAGAGATACTGTGATTCCGTTCCATTTGAACACGATGTTAGCAGAAATCCTTCTTCCCATTCATGGTCTCAAGACAGTGTTCAATTATGCCTGATTTGGAGTTGTAATTTTTTTTCTTTATTCTTTTTTTTTTTTTTTAAGCATCGTGAAATGGCCCAGGACACTACAGTGCCTAAATTGAATTTCAAATTTTGGCTGGATAAAGCTATTGAGTGGGGTCAGGCCAACACTTTGGAATCCCAGACAGATGTCTGTCTTCATTTGCCCCAGTTGCAGGAGTTTCTGCTTCAGACTTACGAAACTCTCAAACAAATGGTAAGTGACTTTAAAAGAAAGAATGACCTCTTTTGTAGGCAGCCCAAGAAAAAAAATCTGCCATGTTTGGACATAAAAGGAATCAAAGAGGCTTCTGTTTCTGGCCTGAGGTATCACTGGATCAGAGAAACAAACTGGGGAAACAGTCCCAGGTAACATAAATAGGAACGCACTTAAGGTACCCCTGACTTATTGGGAGGGGACCTTTCTCTTCTTCACAGAATTGTAGGTGTTGGAAGGGACCTTTAGAGATCGTCTAGTCCAATCCCCATGCCAAAGCAGTCTCCTAGACCAGGTTGCACAGAAAGGTGTCCAGGTGGATAAAGAGACTCCACAACCTCTCTGGGCAGTCTGTTCCAGTATTCTGTCACCCTTACCACAAGGAAGCTCTTACACATGCTTGTGCAGAACTTCCTGTGCTTCAGTTTGTGGCTGTTTCCCTAACCCATCACCACAGCTGAAAAGAGCCTGGCCTTGTACCTTTGCCTCCTCCACCTTATAGACATTGATCAGATCTCCTCTCAGTCTGCATTTCTCAAGAATAAACAGACCCAGGTCATTCCGCCTTTCTTTATAAGAGAGGTGCTCCAGGCCCTTTTTCATCTTTGTGGCCCTCTGCTGGACTTTTTCCAGGAGATCCCTGTCTTTATTGAACTGGAAAGCCTAGAACTCACTCCAGGTGAGGTCTGACCAGGGCAGAATTGAGGGGAAGGACTTGAACTGCTCTTTTTAATGAATCCCAGGATGCCATTGGCCTTTTTGGCCACCACACCACACTGCTGCTCATGGCTAACCTGTTGTCCACCAGGACCTCCAAGTCCTCCTCTGCACAGAGCTCCTCTCCAGCAGGTCATGCCCCAACCTGTACTGGTGCATACAATTATTCCTCTATAAGTGCAAGACTCTACCCTTGCTTTTGTTGCTGCCCAGCTCTCCAGCCTACCCAGGTCGCACTGACTGGCAGTACAGACTTCTAGTGTATCAGCCATTCTTCTCAGCTTTGTGTTATCAGCAAACTTGCTGAAGGTGGACACTATCCCCTCATCAAGATCACTGATGAAGATGCTGAACAAGACTGAACTCAGAACTGACCCCTGGGGAACACTGCTAAATATACACCTTCAGCTGGACTCTTTGCCACCCATTGCAACTCTCTGAGCCCAGCCAGTCAGCCAGTTCTTATTTGGTTGTCATCTTGTGATGTTTCCCAGCTAATGCTCTAGCTTCTTTAAAAAAATTCTTTAAAATAAACAAGATTTTTTTTCCCTGGTTGGCAGGTGATAATTGGGATTATTTAGGGGCGTTCACATGCAAAATTGTTACTGATACTTAAAAATCTCAGAGAGTCTTCTGACATGTTAACCCCAGTGGTTAACTGTGGCATGTGCAGTGAACTCTGGCAATATAGTCAGACCATTAGCACATGCTGTCATGTTTTGTAATTACTGTTAGCAGTTACTAGAGTGCTTTCTTGTTTGTTTGTTTTTTAAATAAATTTAGTTATTTTTGTTTTGTGTATGTTTGCCTAAGCATGACTTTCAATGTATGTAGTCATTTTAAATAGCTATAGAAATGTTGTATTAAAGTATAAAGCTGACTTTTTCATCTTTAAAGACTGCGGAGTTGTAGTTTTTTTTATTATTATTTCTGATCTGAATTTAATTTTTAAATACAAGATTCTTTTATTAGTATTTCTTCCTGTGAATACGTCTTTTCCTTAAGAGAAAAAGAACTCTGTTTTAATGTTGCTACTTCTAGTAATTTGAGGCTTGGCCTGCTATGGACCTTGTGAGTATGGCCCCAGAAAGTCTAGGGCTAACCCCAAATGTGAGACAAATGTAAGGAATTTATTGCCGCAACAGGAGATGGTTATCGCTCTTGCTACTTAAACACAATCTCAGCACAACCCCATTTTTAAAAGCCTTCATTTATTAGATGGTGGAGCTACAAAAATGGAAAAATAAGATTGATTACACAGGATCGTATATAAATACAATGCATGCTACTTTAGTAAAGCTGCTTTCTCTTCGGTTAAAAGGTAAGTGGCAGTTTGTTCCTGCCTAGACATAAACTAATTTAAAGAAGACAGGCAGAAGTAACAGAAAGATGTGTAGTGTTGTTTTTTTTTTTTGCCGTAGTGAATATTAATTTCTTCAGAAACTCCATGAGACAGTATATTAATGAGTACCAAAAAAATACATTTTAGCTGTGCTTTTATTTATCACAAAGTCTTGGCTATCACTGCTGTTTTATGACTATGACATGTGAGGCAATTAATAAATTTTCTAACACAATTAATTAGACATTAGCTGAGGAAGTTACTTAAGCTTTCACTTATTTGAATTGTGATCTTATAGCTGATTTCACAAAGGTCTGCTTTTATTACCTACTTGCAAGCATTTTCCTTCCAGAGCGTTTCACAGAAAAATCATTGGGAACATAATTCACAGTTATCTGTGTCATTAACAATTCTCCTAATTTATTGTTGATGTATAGTGTGCTTATTTTGTTTTTGTTTTTATGTCTTAACAGAATTCAGTTGTAGCAATTCAGCAGTTCCCTTTAATTGGCCAGTTACTAGGAAGGCTTTGTTGGAATCCTTTTGTTATAGGATATGGTAAGAATCTGTAATGATATTTCTGTAACATAAATTTTGTTCCTTAGGAAACAGAAAAAAATACAGCATGACGTATATACTTTGAGTTTGCCATTTAAATACAGCTTTTTATTTTTTATTTTTTTTTCATTTAAATAAAATTTTGAAATAAAAATGTTACCTAAGTTACTTAAAATACATAATAGAGTAATCTTAAATTAACTTTTGGCGATAATTAATTTCATGGATTATTTACAGAGTTTTAATTTGGGAACAGTCAGTTTTAAATCCAGTGAGGTGTGTATGTGCGTCGTTATTTCTGTTGTGTTTCCAATTTTCTTGTATTTATATTTTTGCTGGTCTCTCTGAATGCATACAATGTAATGTTTCAGATTGTTTTCAGCTAAGGTTTCTTCTAGTTATGTATCCGAATATTATATTAGATAGGTTAACAGAGGAAAAAACACTTTTTGTGATACCTGATTTTTTAATTAATGAGAAATTGTACTACATCATTATTGTTGGTTTTCATAGATTTGATTCTTTGTGTTTTCTCTATCTTTTAAACTTGCAAAAATACACAGATTAAAAATTAAAAAAGTAACATGATGACATAGAAAGAAAAAGTATGAAAAATCAAAAGCCTTTTACTGTTAATATGTGTTCAGGTGAGGTGAAAGGAAGGGAGGGAAATGAACAAGAAAACTGGTAAAAAGGTGCAAACTCTATGTGTGCTACCTCATACATAGTTGTATTCTTAACATGAACTGAGATTTTGATAAATAGTTTATGATCTACTATTAATCAGACTAGTGATTCTGAACTTGTCAGCCCTTAGAAATAATCTTTTGTTGATCCTCTGCTACAGCTACAACTGCCAAAAAATAGTAGCATATTTTCTCTCCTGATACATGCTTCCTTTTTGAGAAATATCGGAAAGGACAATTTTTTGTAATCTCTTAAAAGAGTTTATTAGGTCAAGCAGAGTGCTGAGCTTAAAATGATCATATCTCTTCTGGTTCAGATTTATCCTCTTCCAGTCAACTTCAAGCACAGGCAGAATGTGTAAAGCATGTGATAGGTATGCGTTATGTTAGCACTTTCCATCTGAAAGTGAGATTTGGGAAGGAACATTTAAATCTATGGGTTATAGATTGGGTAAGTCACTGTTGCAGAGGAATAAATGTATAATTTTGTGTCACTTTTTGGGAAGAGCTGCCTTTTACTTTATGGGCTAATTTTTTAATTATTTTTTTTTTCTTTTTGATGAAGTTTCTATTTTAATTGTAGCTGCAGTTTTTGAGAATGATAACTGTTGATGTTTACAGTTAAAGGCATGCTTTTCTTACTAGTTTTCGCTGGGAGTAAGTGAGTCTCCTGTCTGCCATTGTCTCTGAGCTAACATTATATTACGTTACAGAAAGAAGCATAATCTAGATTTTTTTTCATCAAAGTTGAAAAGCATCTGTTTCTGCTTTGTGCATTTTGACAACAGCCTCAGCTATACATACCTACTTTCCTCTACTTCAGGATCCCTCGGCATTTTTTGAAGCAGAAAATGCATTTTATTTTTAAGTTGATTGTTATCTCTGAAGATTGCAAGAGATTGGAATTTTACTTCAAGTTGTTGGGCTTATGGGTTTTTTTGTTTGTTTGTTTGTTTTCTTTGGGAGTCAAGGTTGCAAGCTATCCAATTGAGAAGACTTTACTTGCTCCAAATATAATCCTTTACTTCATTGTTTAGAGGTGAGAGGCAGAGATTTCCTGTCATCAGTAGACTTGAAGCGGCTTGCTTATCCATTTTCACCACTATACAGCTGTAGATCTTTAGAGATCGCTTTGAGATCTCAGATTTTTTGTCTGGCATTAGTTCTGAAGGTATTCTTTAAGATAATGCTGGCTATAGCAGATGCTGACTTTCAAGAGGGGTTTAAAGTAATTTCTCATTTGAATGAATAGTTCATTCAAACATGTGTCTAAGACCAAGCCATCCCTGCAGCAGAAGGAAATAATTTTGTTCAATTCAGTCTTTTGTACTAGTGAGCAGAAGAGAAAAAACTTGTACGTCTTATTTTGTCCAAACCAGAATACCTGTCACGTTAGATAGTTATGTCTGTTGGTGCTGCATGCTGACATGGTTGACCATGCAGCAGGAAGTATGGTCTTCAAGGGAAATTAACCTCCTCATAAACAGTCTTTAGCAGGAGGTGACCAAGTTACCCATATTTAGAACACTAACATGGGGGAAGCATGACCAAAGAAAAACTGATGTCTACTTGTGGTCCTGAACCACAAGAGGTACATGAGTTCAGTCTGAGAAAGGAATTCCAGTGTTTTTTTTTCCTGTGGGCTAAGGGATTATGTCCTCAGTTGGCTCCTCATGGTTTAAGTTTTAAGTCCAGAAGTCTAGAAACCCAAACTAGTACTAAAAATGCTGGGGAATTTCTTGGTGGCTCTCTATGTCAACATGTATGTGTGAGCATGCATATATTTATTTGCACAGAAATTTCACTTTTAGCTGATTGCTATATAGTTTAATCAACATTTTCTTACATAAGAATATATATATATAATATATATAATATAGTATATAGTATATAGTATATGGTATATAGTATATGGTATATATAAAAATATATATGTGCATTTTTCAGTAACATTTTAAAACAAGCCTTAAAAAGAATATTTCTAGTTCTAAGCCAAGAAATAATTTTGTCTGGGAAAGTTGTTAAATTGTTAAGTCCCTTATTGTCTGGGAACTGTTGGTAGGGTTATGATCCTAACATAAGTTGGTTTCAAATCATGGAATCCTAGAACGGTTTGGTTTGGAAGGGACCTTTAAGATCCCTAGTTCCAACTCTGCTCCTGTAAGCAAGGACACCTTCCACTATATCAGGTTGCTCAAAGCCCCATCCAGCCTGGCTTTTAACGTCTCTAAGGAGGAGGCATTTACAACCTTGTAGGCAACTTGTTCCAGTGCCTAGCTACTCTCACAGTAAAGAATTTCTTCCTAATGTCTAGTCTAAATCTGCTCTCTTCCAGCTTAAAGCCATTTCCCCTCATCCTGTCGTACCTGTCCTTAGAAAAGGTCCCTCCCAGCTTTCCTCTAGGCCCCCTTCAGGTAGTAGCAGGCTACAGTAAAGTCCCTCTGAAGCCTTCTGTCCTCCAACGCTGAAGAGCCCCAGCTCTGTCTGCTTGTCCCTGTAGGGGAGGAGCTCCACCCCTCTTCTAATCTTCGTGGCTGTCCTTTGGAACTGCTCCAACTGCTTAATGCCCTTTGTGTGTTGGGGGCTTCAGTACTGAACTGGACTCTACTCCAAGTGGGTCTCATGAGAGCAAAATAGAGGGGTGAAATCACCTCCCTTGACCTGCTGCCACGCTTCTCTTGATGCAGCCCAGGATATGGTTAGCCTTTGGGGCTGCAAGTGCATGTTGCCAGCTCATGTTGAATCTTTCATCAACTCCCAAATCTGTCTTCAAGTACAGGCTGAAGTTTTAATCTTAATCCATATAATCTTATTATGCTGAGAGAGTACACTTTGTTCATCTCAGCTTTACATTCATCAGTCTGACTTTCATCATAGTGATTAGCATTTCTGACAAGCAGTGTTTTTTAATTTTACAGTATGTAGCAAATGGTCTTCTGTCTAGAAGTCTAATTCAGGAATTACATTTCCCCTCCTCCTTTTTTTTTTTCTTCCCCTTTCGGTCAATGCAAAACTATAACTTAATTTAAAATGATCGTATAGTGTATCACAGATGTGCAGTATAATAAGGCAAAAAAAAGAGATATTTGAACTTTTACATGCCTTATTCAGAATTGATGGCTTGGTTTCAGGTTTTTTTCTGGGCTTTACTACTTACTGTTAATAAGAAGTGTCTGTAATATTCAAAATGATAGCAAGTGGCTATCATTTAGTTGCTTAAACAAAGAAAATGGTATATTTTTTTTCCTTCCAAATGATTACGTGTCAAATCTGAACATTTCTCTTGAAATGTTGTTTTTTTGTTTTGTTCTATTTTAGAAGGCGATTAAGCTGCCTGTTAGTGTCTGAATGCTGGTTGGATGCAGTTACAAATTACACAGATATTTTAAATTTCTGGTGAGGATTTCATAGGTTGCCTATTCTTACTCTGATCTTACGCAACCTAGAAAATCATTAACCTTGTAAAAACCCGTATTAAAAAAAAAAAATCCTTAAGGATTCAATGTCAGAAAATCTCAAACTGTAGCCAGTTAAATGTATATGAGGAACCATTTCAGAGCAGGAAATGCTAGTCAGTGGGAGGCCAGTGATGGCCTATGGGCTTGCTGGATGTTTATTCAGAATTACTGGTTTAAAAAGTATAAACACTTCTGATCACCTGGTGAAAATACAGGCATTACTTAATTGAACTTAATATTCTTTATTACATCCTGGGTAGCAAATGCACAGAAAGCAAATCATTTATTAAGCATGATAACGTTCAAATTGTCTCCTAATGTAATTTCTGCAACTGAGTAGTAACAATTTCTGCAACAAGGTAGTAACAATTCTACTATGATTGATTATTGTTTATCATTAATGATGTTATTTAAATACTTGATTGAATGATTTCTTGATGATAACTTGAGGTATTTTTATGTAGATGCTGTTGAAGGAAATGATTATACAAGAACTACAGATGAATAATATTGTGTTGTGGAAATCTAGCAAAATAGAAGCATTGTGAGTTGTGACTGATATTTAGGATTATATTTTTGTGGATAGGTAGGAATTGGGTGTAACCGACTGGGTGTTTTTTTTGTTTTGTTCTGTTTTTTTGGTTTTTTGCTCTAACCATAGACTTGTTTGCTCTTTTTTTTTTTTTTTTTTTTTTTTTTTTCATTAGGTGAAAGCCAGAAGACTCTGATGTGGTGCTTATGTTGTCTGTACAGCAGTGAACCACAGAGCCTTGTAGAATTGAAGGCCAACAGCTGGATACGAGTAAGTGAATGATTTCTTCTAAAGGCTGCTTTGAATTAAATCTATTATTTAAAGGTGCTGTATGTACAGTGTTGACAAACATTGGCCATGTGTGGTTCAAATATCAATTTACATATTACAGAGAGAAAAATTTGTCACAGTATTTGTTATAAACATCAGCATATGCATATGATGTGGTAAAGAAGAGCTATGCCACAATGATGTTCTACTGAATGCTTTAACTTTTGGGGAGGTTATAAAGGTGTCTGTCTGTTTTAACCTATATCAGTTGTTTGATCTGATTGATGTAACTGAACTAGTGATTTTTGATGATATGAAAAGGAGTTCAAGTATAAAAGAACAGAGAGTTGGAGATAAGTGTAAGAGGAACTGCTGCTATTGGCAGCACTACCACTTCAGGCTGTTCTGGACTGGGACTAATATAAATATTTGATACAAGACACTGTGCTTCTTAGTTTTTCTACTCACTCTTGTGTGTTTGAATCAATCTAAAATGCGGTGGGTTAGAGGGTCAAGAAGTAATGTAAAAGGAGTAGGGAAGAAATAGGAAGCTCAAAACACCAACATTTCCGAACTATTTCTGTTGTTTGGCACATCCTTAATTCGTTAAAGAGCGTATAACATGATGCAATTTGAAATTGTTACTTTTTCCACATTATTTATCATAAAAATTATCATACAAATTTGTCAAGATGCTTTTGTTAGGACAGCTATAACTTCAGGTTTTCACTGACTGTTTTCTGTGTGACCAGTGACTATCCTGTGCAGTGCCTTGGTCTGACCACAACCTTATTCATAATACAGTATAAGCTTTATATGACAGTGATACTACTGTCCTGTGAAGAAGATGCCAAATGCTCATGACCCCAAATCTTAAAATGTGTCGTAGAATGTCTTGAGTTGGAAACTTCCCACATTATCAAGTCCAACTTCTGTCTTAGCACAGAACCACTTATAAATCAAGGCATTGTCCAAATTCTCCCTGGTCTCTGATTGCTCAGGGCTCTGCCCATTTCGCTGGTGACCCTGCTCCATGCCCACCACCTTCTGGTGAAGCACCTGCTTAGGCTCCATCTACTCTTCCCCTCACACAGCTCCATGCCATTCCCTCAGGCCCTGTCGCTGTCACAGAGAGCAAGCTCAGTGCTGCCCCTCCACTCCCTATGATGAGCTGCAGCCATCATCAGGCCTCCCCTCAGCCTGCCCAGCTCTGGGCTGAACAGAGCTCAGCCATTCCTCACACACCTAGTCCTCAGACTCTTCACCATCTTCACAGTCCTGCTTTGGAAGCTCTCTAACAGTTTTATGTCCCTCTTCTGTTGTGGCACCCAGTGCTGCAGCCAGTGCTGGAGGTGAGTCTGCACAGTGCAGAGCAGACAACTCCTCCTTTGCCTACTGGCAGTGCCGGGCCTGGTGCACCCCAAGGTCTGGTTGACCCTTTTGGCTGTCACAGATTGCTGACTCAGATTCAGCTTGCCATCAACAGAGCTTTGAAAACCATTTTCATGGGGCAGCCTTTAAGACAATCATCCTCCAGTCTGTACATATATAAAATGTTGATCTGTCCCACACACATTATCACAGAATCACAGAATGGCCAGGGTTGGAAGGGACCTCAAGGATCATGAATCTCCAACCCCCCTTGCCATAGGCAAGGCCACCAACCTCCCCATTTAATACTAGACCAGGCTGCCCAGGGCCCATTCAGTGTAGCCTTGAACACCTCCAGGGACTGAGCACCCACAGCCTCTCTGGGCAGCCTGTTCCAGCACCTCACCGCTCTCCCTGTAAAGAACTTCCCCCTGACATCCAACCTAAATCTTCCCTCACTCAACTTAAAACCATTTCCCGTTGTCCTGCTGTTATCTTCCCTTTCAAAGAGTTGATTCCCTTCTGTTTGTAGGATCCCTTCAGGTACTGAAATGCTGCAATGAGTCACCCCGCAGCCTTCTCCTCTCCAGGCTGAACAAGCCCAGCTCCCTCAGCCTGTCCTCATATGGGAGATGCTCCAGTCCCCTGATCATCTTTGTGGCTCTCCTCTGGACTCTCTGCAACAGCTTCCCAGGAAAGGGAAACAGGGAATATAAAAGGTTTTTTTAAAAAAATTGATCATACTATGTTTTATCTCAAAAGTGAATTCTTATGGTCAGAAAACAAAAAAATGCACAGTTTTAAAATAGCATATTTTAAAGAAAGAAAACTTTCTGAAGAGTGTATACGTATTATATACTACTGATTTGCTTCTAGAAGAATTTACTTGGTAGAAAGCATGGCCCATATGATTATGGCTGTCAGAAACAAGCAGTACAGGGGAGTGGCAAAGAGAAGCTATACCTTCTCAAAACTGAAGACGAACATCTGTGGAAAGCTGTTTACTTAATTTTTTTATTTTTTTATTTATTTATTTTTTACAACTGCTGTTGCATAGAGAATGGATTATCTGAATCGTCTGCAGACTGTGACCACCCATGCTATGGGAAGTACTATGATTAAAGAGTTCTGTGTTCTAGTATCTGCCAGTAAAGCCTGCTTTGTGTTGTAATTATTGTACTGGAAGTCTTCTTATAATGGAGTCTTCTTAATAAAGTCTTCTTATAAAGTCTTCTTCTGATGGAGCCCAGGATACCATTTGGTTTTTGCGCTGCAAGAGCACACTGTTGGCTCATGTTAAGTTTTTCATCAAGATCCCCAGGTCCTTCTGTGCAGGGCTGTTCTCAAGGACCACTCCTTCCAGTCTGTATGGATGCCTGGGGTTTGTCTGGCTCAAGTGCAAAACTTTGCACTTCGTAATGTTGAACCTTATCAGGTTCACCTGGGCCCACCTTTCCAACCTGTTGAGATCCCTCTGAATGACATCCCTTCCTTCTACTGTGTCAACCCCACCACTCAGCTTGGTGTCGTCAGCAAACTTGCTGAGGGTGCACTTGATTCCGTCATCGATGTCATTGATAAAGATGTTAAAGAGCACTGGTCCCAAGACAGATGCCTGGGGGACACCACTTGTTACAGCCTCCCCCTGGACATAGAGCCATTGATGACCACCCTCTGTCTGTGGCCTTTCAACCAATTTCGTATCCATCGAGTGACCCACCCATCAAATCCACATCTCTCCAATTTGGAGATAAGGAAGGAGTTGGTGTCTGTGTCAGAGGCCTTGCTCAAGTCCAGGTAAGTGACATTGGTCGACTTCCCCTTGTCCACCAATGCCATCACTCCATCATAGAAGGCCACCAGATTGGTCAAGCATGACCTTCCCTTGGTGAAGCCGTGCTGGCTGTCTCGGATCACACGCTCACTCCTCATGTGATCAAGCATGTTGTCCAGGAGGATCTGTTCCATGATCTTCCCAGGCACAGAGCTACCAGCTACCCAGCTGCCGGCCTGTAGCTCCCACAATCCTCCTTGCTCCCTTTCTTGTAAATGAGAGTGACATGATCCTTCCTCCAGTTACCCAGGACCTCACCTGACAGCCACAACTTTTCAAATATGATGGAGAGTGGCTCAGTAACCACCTCAGCCAGCTCCTTCAGAACCCTGGGAGGACGCCATCCGGCCCCAAGGACTTGTACACATTCAGTCTCATGAGGTGGTCTCGCACCTGCTCTGCCCTCACAGTGGGGGGGATTTACCACTCTGGTTTCCACCTATAGGTTTAGGAATGCAGGTCTCAGAGACATGAGAAGTACTGGAATCCTGGCCGCCAGTGAAGACTGAGACAATAAACTCATTCTGCACCTCAGTTCTTGTGGTTGCTGTTTTCCTAGCCCTCTAACTTGTCTGGATCTCTCTTCAAGGCTTAGAGCTCCTCCTTCTTTAGTGTTGTCCACAAACTTACCCAGTATAGCTTCAAGTAATGTATCCAAGGAATTGATGAAATTGTGAAGAAGAGTGTGTCCTAAAATGGAGCTCTCGGGAACCAGCTAGGCACCAGACACTGTCCTGATTTCACTAGAATCCTTTGAGCCTAACCTGTCAGTTAATTGCTCGCCTGCTGCATTATTTTTTTTTCTGGCTGCACACTTTGTCCAGAAGGATTTGTGAGAAACGGTATATACAGTTGAAATAAACCTTGTAGCTGAGAAGAAAGATTTTATGGCCAAGATAAACACTGCCACAGATTTGTTACTGAAGAAATCACTTGTAATCTGGTGAAATGTAAGGGTGACAGAGGACTGGAACAGGCTACCCGAGAGGCTGTGGGGTCTCCTTCTCTGGAGACATTCAGGACCTGCCTGGATACATTCTTGTGTGACTCTGGCAGGGGACTGGATTAGATGATCTTTTGAGGTCCCTTCCAATCCTTGCTATTTTGTGAAATCAGTTTATCAGGAAGTTATTTAGTTTCTCCATCTACTTTTCTTTGAGCAGAGGTTTTTGGAGCTGTGCAATATGGATGTTTCTAACACTGGTTTCTGTCTAATAATAGAACAGTTTTATTTCAGTTAGCCCTTGCAGTGATATTGCATCAACGAGAGGGTGTTTCTGAAGTAATTTTCCACTTTGTTAATTTGATTAAATCTCCTTCTGTCCTCTAAATTCAGAAAATATTTAGGGATAGTTTACTGCTTTGAAACTTCTGTAGTTTACTATGCTATCCCTGCTTTTGTTGTAGTGCTTTGGAAGACACAATTTTGTGAGGGCGTTGCAGCCCCTCTTTTTTCAGATTTGCTAAACAGAAAATGTTGATATCTCTCCCTTTGGTGTCATTTATTTATTTAGTTATTAATATTTTACCTCAAAGGAAAACCAAAGAAGTGGAAGGTCTGTCAGCATTGCCACGGATTTTTAATGGTATTTTTTTGGGTCTGGCCAAATTTTACTTTTGGGAAACATATAGTACTTTTGGGTATCTGCTGTGTGAAGTCGCATTTTAATTCATGACCTCAAAAGTAGTAGGTGTCTTTTGTGAGAGTAATTTTTAATGGTACTGGAATTATAAAATTATTTCTGTTATTTTTTTAATGAAAATGTCTAATGAAACTTGTATGGTTTATTTTTGG